ACACGCTGCTTTCACTGCTGCAGCGAGTGCCTCGGGCCTCAGCCCATCCCGCTGCCCCCCGGGCTCTGCAGGGTTGGCTGCACCCCCCACCCCCCAACCCGGGTTGGCATCACCTCCCCTGGCACGAATCCTTCACCCAGGGAGGAGGAGGAGGAGGAGGATGCTCAGCCCAGGAGCCCGCGGCCCCGCGGCAGGAGGATCCGGATTATTTACAGCTCCTTAACGGAGCGCGGCGAGTCCGGCGGGGCTGCCTTAGGCAGGGCTGACCTTTCGGCGCTGGAGACAAAGGGAGGTGTCAGCCGGCTCAGGATCGCTGGTGCGGGACCCTCCCCAGCCGGCCGGGACGGAGAGGGAGGCCGGACCCTGGAGCGGGGGGCTCGGCAGCGCCGGGCCGGCCAAGGCCACGGAAAGCAGAGCGCGCCGGGATCCCAGCCTGGGAAAAGGAGGGATCGGATTCCTCCCTGCCCGGCCCCGCCGGACAAACTCTTCCGGGTGGGGACTCCTACGCGCCGCTCTCTGCCCAGGCACTCCCGCAGCCCCCCCGGCCGCTCCTGCGGCTGGAAAACACCGGGATACGGCACCAAATAAAAGCGGGGGGGGGGGGCTGGAGACTCGCCCCCGGCACCCCGGCGGCTGCGCTTGGCTCCTCTGCCGGCTCAGCCCAGCTGCCGACTCATCCCTGCCATGGAAGCGTGGAGGGAAAAGTTTCCCCGTCAGCACAAAACACCGACAACTGGCCAAACCTTGGGCTTGGCTTCTGCCGCCCCGGCCAGGAGTTCGCCCTGCTGGGGACCTGCCAGGTCCCGGCTCCGGAGGTGCAGGGGATGGGTCCACTCCCTGCATTAGGGGACTGGGGTGTCCCCCAGGAGCTCCCCAGACCCTCGGACTGCAGGGAAGGAAGGGCCTGCTGAGACCAGGAGATCTGTCCCTTGGCACTGCCCAAGGGGAGATCCTTCCCTCTCTCCAAAGAGATCTAACTGTGGGATTTGGGCAAAGGAACATGTGCAGGGCTGGTGTCACAGCACTCCCCAGCACGGACCCTCCTGGTCCCTACAGCGTTTAGGACTGGATGCCACGATCCAGAAGCCCAGACATCCCAGGCAAGCAGCCCAGGAGTACCTGGTATCCCACCAGGATCCCCACATCCCTCACCACCCTCCTGGGCAGCAGTGACCTGTCCACCCTTGCCAGCCCCTCGGTCCCTGCTGAGGTGCTACAGGCAGAGGGATTCTCCCGCCCAGGATTCCCACAGCCCCAATTCCTGACCCCCCTCTGGGGCACATCGCTGTGCATCAGCTTCCCACATTTAAATCCAAGACCTCTCCCAGAAGCTCACAAATGCAGGATGGCAAACTCATCTGTTACTCACAGAGAGCTCTCCCAGGATTTAAGTTGCTTAATTAGTGCTTTAAGAGAGTCACCAGCCGAGTGGGTGACACCCCACCGGGATGTCATGTGCTCCACAGGGCTCAGGCTTCACTTTCCTCCTTTCCTAGCCAGGGTTACCTTCTCCTTTTTTTCCCTATTCCATTTTCTAATGAACAAACAGAGGGGCAGGTTTTATAAGTCCATGGAAACTCTATTATCCCTCTGCATTAAAGCCAAAAGCAACTAATTAAAACATCAAAGTCAGAGGTTTCATTAGTTTGGCCTCAGCGCTGGCAGGAGGTGATGGGGAACGTGGCTCCCACAGCCAACTGCTCCAAGGAACCCCAAGGCTGGACCTGCACCCTGAAACACATTCCCTGTCCCAGTGCCACCCTTTCCCATCAAAGCTGCTTCCCCCAAGAACATCTCCATCACCTGCACCATCAGATGGGTCTTTATTCCCACCCAGCACAACACCAGGGTGAGAGGGATGGGTTCAAATTTCCAGCCCACTCTCGCCAATCTACTTCCTCCTCTACACATAGGATCCCCACCTACATGACAGAACATCCCTGCCTCCATCCATCCCCAGCAGGAATGCTCCAGGCAGCCAGCAGACACCCAACAGCATCCCTCACCCTGCCAGGATCTGCTCCCAGAAGTCCCCAGCAAGCCACAGGAATTGGGGAGCACCAAGGAGGAGTCACCTCTTTGCATTGCAGTGGCCACCTCCCCACCCAAGGACCTGCATCCCATTGCCATGGTCACACCGAGCATCAGCCACCTCCCTCCCCGGGCTCCTGGTCCCTGCCACAGCTGCACTCGGAGCCAAGCAGGATCCCCGGGGCTTTGACCCAGGTTTTCCTCCGGCTCCTTTCCCAGGCACAGCCCAGCCGTCCCCGGCGGGGAGGAGCCGTGGGCGAGGAGGAAGCCAGAGCTGCCAGCCCTTCCCTGGGCCCTGCGCGGGGAGCAGCGGATACGGGGCGCAGCAGCAAACAGGCGCCGGCAGCGAGTCCCCGCTGCAGAGATTTGGGTCCCCCCAGTCCCTGCAGGCTCCATCCTGTGCTGCTGGAACAGGCGCGAGCGACCACTGCGGGAAAACTCCGCTCGTGGCCTAGCGGGGAGGAGAAACAGGAAAATGGGGAAAAAACAAACAACCCCAGAGAGGAGCGGGGAGCGCGCTGAGAACCCGCAGCCCCGGCGAGGGGCAGGTACGGAAGGAGCAGGCTCGTCTCCCAAGGCAGGGAGCTTTGGGGACAAGGGGAAACTCCAGGCTCAGCTCCACCCCGGCGCTTTCGACTGCAAAACAATAGTGGAGAGGAGCAGCCGTCCCTCCCTGCTCTTACTCATCCTGCCCAAGGACCTGTGCCACCCTTCGGCTCACCCCTCCCTGCCCCTCCTCTGCCCGGGGGCTCCGGCATGGCGTGTCCCGGCTCCAGAGGCGCAGGCGACGGCAAAAGATCCCCCGGGAACGGATCCGGACCCACGGCACGCGAGCGGCGAGCCGGCAGCGCAGGGAATTCCCTCCGTCATCATCTCAGCCGAAAAAAAAAAAAAAACCAACAAAAACCAACACCCAACAACACCCTTAGCTCTCTCCAGCCTCTACCTGCAGCGCTCGCACCACCGCCCAGAGCCAGCAATCCCCTTTCCAGCCGGGAAGGAGCCGAGAATTCGCGGAGGGCTCCCACGGGGCTGCTCCCAGCGCAGCCCCCGCGGCGACGGTGGGACGGGGATGGAGCCTGAACCCCCCCCCGAGGGGCCGCTCTGGGGGACGGGGAGGCTCTGCCTCCATGCCCTGGGCGCTTCCCAGCTCCACCTGCACCATCCTCGGGCCAGGCACCTCCACATCCGAGTCCATCCAGCCTGGCCGTGGGGAGTCGCAGGACACGCAGGGGTCGGGAGGCCTCCAAGACCACCCAGCACCCACCATTCAGCCCGGGAGGGCCTCACTACCCTGACACGAGGGGCACCCCCTGACCCACCACGCAGCCCAGCCACCCCAGGGGACGGGTGGGATTTCCCGGGGGGGTCATCCAAGGGGGCAGCCGGGGAGGGATCCCCACGGCGCGGCGGGGTGGGGCCGGCGGAGCGCGGGGGCGTCAGCCTCTCTCGCTCATGATTTAATAATTTAGGTGCGTTTCAGTGCTCAGGGAAGCGAAAGATTGAGGGCAGTGTCTGGAGCCTGGCAGGGCGCAGGCAGCGGCACAGCCCACGGCCGTGGCATCGCGCCCCTCGGGAGTGGGGGCACGGCTCGGTGTCCCCCAGCCCCAGGACAGCTCTGGATGCCCCATGGGGCGCTCCGAGCACTCACCTCCACCCCAGTTCGCTGCCCCCGGGTCCTGCCCGTCCACCCACGTCCAGGGCTGCCTGTCCACGTCCACGGGCAGAAACTGGCTGCACTGGTTTGAGCTTCGCAATCCAAACCCCCACCCAAGCTCAGGTCTCCAGAGATAAGAGCACAATAACCTATTGTCCCTCCTCCCCTCCCAACATCTCCACTTGCCTCTGGCAAAGCAGGGAGGGACCACCCAGCTCCACACAGTCCCCCCACCCCCACTGCCGGGGACCCCACGGGGGGCACAGCCCCACCGAGCCAGGCGAGGGATGCTGGGAGGCTGCAGAGCCGGGGCTTGGATGCAAGGAGAGGGCTGGGGGCAGAGGCAGGAGGAGGCGGACGAGGCCAGAGACTGGTTGGGCTTCTAATTTATCTCCTTATTTATTTTTTTCCTCCCCACTCCTGTTTTCTGCCGTGGATCTGACCAGCTGGATTGGTGCAGGCAGGAGGGGGACGTGCCCAGCCCTGGCGTGGGCAAACCCCACGCAGCCTCCCCACTGCATCCCACCCTCCCTGCGTCCCACCCTGCATCCCACCCCCAGCCCCACGCACACCCCACCCGAGCCACCCCACTCCAGGCAGGGAGCAGCCCCCCTCCTGCCCCACGGGTGGGGAAAACCACCCAAACCCCCCCACGCAGCACCTTCCCCGCTCTGTCCTTGGGCTGCCGCAAGCCCCCCTCCCCTTCCCCCGCCTCTTCCTTCCTCCATCATCCTCCTCCTCCTCCCCGCAATGCCACAACACGCTGCCTTCCAAGAAGCCCACAGCACGCGCGACCGGGAACCCCACGCCCCACCTCAAGGGCAGGCAACAAGTTGCAGGAGACGACCGGAGAGTCCTCCCCACACCAGATACTGGGGGGGCTGAGGGAGTTGCCTGCCCCCCCCCCCCCCGAAGATGTTTGGGGGCTGCAGCGCCTCGCAGCCCCCCACGCACCACAGCGGACGGACCGTGCTTATCCCACCATCACACCCATCTCCCACGTGGGACCGGGGTGCGGGGGGGATCCACGCCAAGCCCACTTCCCTGCTCTAGGGACCCCCGCCAAGCCCCGCCATCCCACCTGCTGCACTGGGACGAACTGGGGTGGGTGAAAGCACCGCGCCCACTGCCCAGCCGGGGTGGGTGGGGAGGTGGGCTCAGTGCTATCACCCACTTGTGCACCCCTCACCCACAAACAACCCCCCCGGGGACCCCCCACCCCACTCCCGTGACTCCCCCCATACACTCACCACCACCTCAACCCCTCGCGGGACCCCCGTACCCCACCCCGGGGGTCCCTCCGCGCACTCACCGGCTCAGCTCCCACGGCGCCCGGCTGGCGGCGGAACCCCCCCGGCTGGCCATGGGATGGAGGGGGAACGGTCCCGGAGCTAACGGGAGAAAATGCTTGTCATGGCAACCCCCGTGCCGAGCGGGGCCGTGCGGGGCCGGGCCGAGGAGGGAGGGGACGAGGGGAGGGAGAGGGAGGGCTCGTCCCAGCCCGCCGGGGGAGGGGCTCCCTTAAGGTGGTTGCGCGCCCCGACGGCTGCTTAAGGGGGACGGGAAGGAGACGGAGAGTGGGTAGAGTGGGGTGCGAAACGCCAGGCAGTGGGGGGACCCCACAGGCAGAGCGGGGAGTGCACCCCCAGAAAGTGTGGGGACCCCCCGGGCAATGTGGGGACCCCCCCTGCTAGAGCGAGGAGAGCACCCCACGGCAATGTGGGGACCCCCCCGGGCAGTGTGTGCACCCCTGGGCAATGTGGGGGCACCATAATGTGTGTTCCCCCAGGGAGCTGGGGCACGACCCATGGCAGTGAGGTGGGGGCACCCCAAGTGTGGGCACCCCAAGAAGTGAGGGCCCACCCTCATGCCCAAACCCCTCCCCAGTCCAGGCGTGGGGAAGGCAGAAGGAGCATCGTGACCTGCGGCAGAATCGGGGCTCCTTGTGGGTTTAAAGGGGCTTTGGGGTTCTTCACTGGCACTGTGGTGGATGCCCAGGGGTTGGGGTGTGCCCATCTGACACCCCCTGAGAGCGACTGTCCCCCCTGAGGGGCAGCATGACTCGGGTGGGTACACACCCTGAGATCCACAGAGGGGCCAGCATGAAAAAACCCCCAGGGGCAGATCCTCACCCCTTTTTTTAAAGGACCCGGGATAAAAATCCTCCTGGAATCATTCCCGAGGGGTGGCACCGGGGCACGGGGCAGCAGTGCCAGGTGTGGGCACCTTAACTCGGCGCTCGCCCTCCCCGCAGCCCCAGTCTGGGCACGCCGCAGGTTCGAGTTAAACCAGTGGAACATCTGTGCACGCACAAGCCCTAATTAGCACTCGGAACGGTTTTTTCCCCCCTTGAGGGCCTGCACCTCGAGAATTTCACATTCCTGAGCGCTCCCAGGTGGTGCTGCAGAGGCCGGGAGAGCAGAGCCCTGTGTGGATCTGGAATTCCTTCCCGTGCTCTCCGTGGCCAGTAAAATCCCTTCCACTCCGCTGATCCAGGGGCCTTTTTGGGGCAGGGGAAATTATCTGAAGTCACCTGAGTGCCCTCAGAGCTGCCAGGGTTGGATGTAATTCAGTCTCCACATCCTGTAGGGCACAGAAGGCACCAACCTGTTCCTGTGCTTTGCAGCAGGGGGGAGGAAAGTGCCCTGAGCTGCCCCATCTCAAGGTGGGGCCCTTGGCATCTTCCTGGGGAGTTGATGGGGTCATTCCCTCTGAAAATAAACCCCTCCAGGGCTGGAGACTCCCATGACAAGAGCAAACCTTGTGTCTCAAAAAACAAGCTCAGGCACCTTCAATTTAACAGCTCCACGCTTGCCCAACACAGAAAGTGGGAACAAACACGTGGATTTTAGCTGGTGTCCGCCCCCTCCCTCCACCAGAATCAGCCAGCACTGACCAGATTGTGTCTCAGTGACCACAGAACAGCTTGGAAAAGAGCTGGTGGAGCAGCCTGCAGGCGGTGCTTCCAACGGGCCAGGATGCAAAACTGCTATTGAGACATAATGGCCTTTTAAAACAGGTTTTCTGGGCTTGGAAGGAGTCTCTGACCATCTGGATTTGAACTCCTGAAAGGAAATCAGCCTTCCTGCCTCAGGGAAGCCGTTGTTAACAGGGCAGTTCAGCAATGCTGAGAATTTGCAGCCTCCTTGGACTCCTGGACTTGAGCTGCGATGGGGAAAGGCAGGTTATACAGCTGGGGCACTTGCTGTGGAGGGAACCAGCCAAAATCCATTTGGAAAACTGTGCTTCCCATCCAGTGGCAGGCGGCAATTCCAGAGCTGGTGCTCAGCAGCTCCTGCCTGGTGTGTTCCCAGTACACAGAGAACCATAAACAGCTGGAGAGCCCCTTCCATTTCACAGCTGAGGAGAAGCACGTGGAGGAAAAGTGAAAATCCTGGCTGGAGCAAGAGCAGGAGCAGGGCCGTCACCTCCAGACACCTGTCCCCATGCACCGTGGCAAAGAGGGGCAGAACACAGGAAAAATTCCTTCATGGAGTATTTTGGGGTGTCCTCTGAAGACCCTCCTCGTGCCCCTGTTTCCCAGGATCCTGCCCCTGGTGCTTGCTGGTGCCACCACCCCTCCTGCTCCATCCCCTGCAGCCTCAGGCCACCTGCTCCTGCTCAGAGGGGGGACAGGAGGGTTTGCCCTCCCTGGAGAGGTGACAGGGGTGTCCCCACACAAAGCTCCCACCTGTCCAGCAGGGAGGGACCTCCAGGGATTATCAGGGCTCTGGCTGCCACAGTCACAGGGGTGGCAGTGGGACAGGCTGATTTTGGGGTGGCAGTGGGGACAGGCTGCTCCTTTGGCTCTTGACAGGTGCTCCCAGGTGAGCTCCAAGGCAGACACCCATTGCAGGCCCCTCTGGAAGAGGAGCAGGTTCCCCATCCCGTACCAGAAGGAATTTTCCTCCCACAACTCCCTGCAGGCAATTCCTGCTGCTTAGAAAAACTCCCACAGTGACCAGCAGCAGCCAGGACCACCATCAGGGGCCTAAACCCTGAGGGCAGCCCTGCTGGGATGGGAATTTCAGCTGTTATCCATATTTTGGCACCTCTTTTCTTTTCCAAATGCTTTCCTGCTGGATGCTCTGGAGGCAAAGCAGAGCAGTCCCCAGCCTGGGCAGTGTCTGGCCTCAGGGAGACCAGCAGCAACATAAAATAAATAACCCCAAAATAGAAAACATCACTCCACCAGGTTCTTTTGTAAAAAAAAAAAAAAAAAAAAAAAAAAAAAAAAAAAAAAAAAAAAAAAAAAAAAAAAAAAAAAAAAAAAAAAAAAAAATCAGGACTAGCTGATGAGCTCCCTTTAAACCCAGCATATAATATTTGTATTAATTTGCCTTTAATGCCTCCCAGGCTGGGAACTTGTAGGTGGAGTTTTAGCCCAAAATGAATTAAATCAGCCGAGTTGTATCAGCCAAGTTACAAACCCATCAAAACCCGGGGCCAGATCCTGATCTCATCCCCAGGGGGGTAAATCCAGGGCACTCCACTGGGAGCAATGGGGAGGGTTGGGAGCAATGGGGAGGGTTCTTGTCCCGGTGCCGGCGAGCGGAGCAGGGTTGGACCCCCGGGGTTTCTCATGGAAACACTGACTGCCTCCTGAGCACAAGGCAGAGTCGGGCGCCTGTGAAATCTCTCTCCATCCGAGGGCTAAATATAGGGAGAGAGAGCGCCAGAGATGAGACTTGCAGTGCTCAGGGAGAAATAAACCCCGCATAGGCTTTGCTGGCAATGCCAGGGGCTCATGGGGGTCCCACCCCTTGGGACAGGGTGCTTTTTCCTGCCTCTTCTCCCTCTTTTCCCTCCCCCTGCTCATCCCTGAGCTGCAGCACCCACAGGTGCCTGTTTGTAGGGCTCAGATTCCTGCTCAGAACCCACATGATGACGTGGGAAGGGTCCCACTGTGGCCACACCGATTCCTCTCTCAGTTCTGGGCTCTCCCCTCACTCTGGGGCAGCTCCCCCTGGCTTTGGAGCACCAGAAACACCCCCCCCCCCCAGCCATGGGACTGCTAATAAACCATCAGCACACTCCTGCTAATAAACCTCTCCTAGCCTGTTCCTGCTCCCAATTACTCTAACAACCCTGTTAATTTCTAATTAAGCAGCTCCTTCATTGGGGAAAGGGGCTTGACATGAAAAGCAAAACATGAGAGGAGGAATCCGGGCCCAGCTTTGCTTTATGGATGTAATTAGGAGACAAAATTGTTCGCTCACCTAAGGAATTCATCACCCAAGTGCCTGTGAGCCGACAGCCAGGCTGGGTTTTCCTCGGGAGCCCCGTGACTGACGGCGCTTTTCCCTTCCCCTCCCCTCCACATTCCCATCTGCAGCCACGACAGACTCTCAGTCCATTAGTGCCTGTTGTGGAGCCCCCAATATTTCCAAGAGCCTCTTGGCTGCTCCTTCCCAAAGCACCCCTGGGCAGGATGAAGGGGAATTCCACGGGGATGCGATGACACCTCAGCAGGGCCGTTGGTGTCCTTCCTTCTCCACGGAGCACCCCAGCAGAGCACCCTGTGCTCAGGGAAATGCACAT